CAAATTTAATAATATGAGAAAATTAACCACTTGGTTTTTATAGTTTTGATCTAGTTATAAATCAATTTCTAAACTTTAATAATTTGTAAATTAGTCCTTATAGTTTTGATCTTATCATAACTTATGTCGTTAGTGCCTACCCCTTTAATTAAAAAAAATTAAATTGAGCACAAGGAAGATTATCACATTCAATGTGATAATCCATAGCATATTCGTTAGATATGGTTGGCTTTCATGTTGTCATTAAGAATCAACTTGTATATTATATCAACCAAATCTTTAGTTATTGCAAAACTAATGTTCGGTATTTAAGAATTATTTCTTTACATTTTATTAAATTTATTTGAAGTTAGATTTATTGACTTAGTTTTTACATACATTAAATTATTAATGTTAATATAATTTAAATTATATAATTAATCAAGTATATAAGTTAAACAAATTTAATAATATTAAATATAGCCTTATCAATATTTTTAATTTTTAAAAAAAATGTCCTTTATAGTAATTTTCATGTCTAAAAATGATTCTAACTAAATCATCCAAATATCTTCAATTTTATCAAAATTAATTTGAGTAAAACAATATCCAAACATGGTCACATTATAACATAATTAATTATAATCAAAATTATTTATATTAATTAATTTTTTTATAATCAATTATACCTAACTAAAATTCAAACGAGACTATATTCTATGCCAACCACCATACATAATGTAAATTTTCTATAACGCCCTTACTCTCTCAAGTGAACTCTTATCCATCAGTGATCATGCAACATGCTCATGTTACTCAATAACATGTCATAATTCAAACTTGATTAACTTATCTTATAATCAAGTACATATTATCAAACCAAGAATGAATAACCAACATTTAAATTTGATACCAATATCTTAAGCTCATGCTCATTAACATATCATCAAAATATAATTTAACAACTTTGTTCATGCACAATATCACCCTATCAAATCATGTATTCATGCTTTTGTTCAAAAAAAAATCATGTATTCATGCTTAATTCTTAGCATTATGCTATAAGCATTCAATTACTTAATCACATCTCCACATCCTCATACACATGCCATAATCAATACTCATTAAGATTTCAATAGTCGCAATGTCATCATCACATTATACTTCATAACCACATAACCCAAACCAAATTGATCATTCTATTTTATCATCAACAAACCCATAACTGCATATCACATAATGCTCAATAATCATTAACAACATGCTTGCATATCCACATCATCGTTTTCATCCTAATCAATAACATACAACTAATAATTGCAAACAACAATTATAGATGAGAATACAACTCCATTTACTTCTACCCTTGGGCTACTACCCTAAGAGTATAATTTAGATTCTAAAGGAGCCTTCCAATAAGCCCAATAAGCTCTGAAGTAGTCAATATATAATTAATAATTAATAGATAGTATTAATGACTAATCATCCTTAATTAACTTTAATTATAGTTAAGGCCTTAAACCCTTATTAAGCATGATTAAGCAAAAACAACCCTAAAACTCACTTTCAATAACTTATTTAACATTCATTAAACTTAATAAACAATGTTAGCTAACCTCATTAGCTTAAACTAAGTTATTTAGTATTAAGGTTAACTCTAAACCACTATCATTAGCTTAATCTAACCCAAAACAACTCTAGAGTTTTAGATTTAAGCACCCCTTTATGATAAATATTATCAAAACAATTTAAATAGCACTTATTTAATTTCAAACAACTTATAAAGTTCAAACCCCATGATTGGAGTTACTTCAAATTCAAACCTTAACCTTAAATCACTACACAAACTTGCTTAAGGATGAGATTAGAGTATAAGAAATGGATTAGAAGTGTTACCTTGAATGATTATGAGTTAGAATCTTTGCCCTAGTGATTGAGAAGTTGAAACCCTTGCAAAGTAGAAGAAAATCACCCAAAACTCACCAAAAGCTTTATCTCCCATGTTTGTTTCACAAATAGACCTTCAAGTCTGATTTTTTATTGTTCAGCATGACAAATACCACTTTCACCCCAATAAATGCCTCATTCGCCATAACAAACTACATAGTTAGCAAATTTTCACTTAAGTCCAATATTTTAGGCTCAGTTTCGGCCCAAAACCTAGTTTAGATCCCAAATAACTCCTATATGCGATCATAGACTCAATTTTAATCATAATTAAGTGCCTAAACAATTGATTAACCTCAATCATACATGATTTCTCAATTAACACTCAAATTCACAAAAATTCTAAATTAAATCATCAACACACATATCTCCTTAATTAAGTCATTAAACTCAATTAACTACTTAACTACTCTTATTTCCTTAATTAATTCCTAACTAAGACTTTGTGTTGAAATTAATAAATTTAAATAATTAAATACGTCAATATTTAATTAAAAATTTTAAGATTTTGTGTTGAAATTAATAAATTTTTAAATAAATAAATATAAATTATATTAATTAATTTATTATATAAAAATTATTATTATTATTTTTACTGAGTGTTCGGAATATTATTTTAGGCAATTTTTGCATTTAAATTTTAGAAAATGTTACTAATAACTAAAAACATTAAAATATAAATAAAAAAAGTAAAAAATATGCATTAAGTTTTTTTTGGGTAATTTGAATTATTTTTAAACAATATTTATATTTAAAAAATATATATTTGAGTTCAATATATATGATTTAACAATCAATTAACGATTCAATATATAAAAATAAAATTTTAAAAATAGAGAGAATGTTTGTGTTTTGTAACTATTAATATTACTAGAGGTTCATATAAGTTTTAAAAGGAGAAATGATGTATCTATAACTAAGATAAAATAGAATGGAAGTCAAGGTATTTTACTTATCTTCATTCAACCTATAGAAAATGAGAAATATCATCTCTGCCATTTTAGTTTACTCTTCAAGACTCTTCATATATATATATATATATATATATGGGTTTGTCCATAACTTTCATACTATCAAAATAAAATTATATTGATTATAAAAAATGAAATTATATTCAGCTTAATCTAATTATTAATAAGATTAGACAAAGGATAAATCTATTTCAAATACAGTTGAGATAAAAAATCATGGTGTTGCAATGGAGAATTTCAATTAAATTTTCATACAAACAAACTAGATTTGAGAGATAACTAGATATGAATAGACGAAGGTAAAAGAATGAATCATATTGTTGGTGATATTTTATAAATTTTTTTATGATAAATAGTCGGGAGTTGAGTGAAAATTTAAATTAAGCAAACAAGAGAAGGACTGGAATGTTGATGGAAAAGTTCATAAATAGTCAACCAAGCGAATCCAATTCATGAGCGTGAAGTACAAAAGGTTGATTTTAGTTGCTGAGAAGAAATTGAACATATTAATATAAAATGAGATTAATTAAAATAAAGTTATAAATTAACAGAGACATAGGGATTAATATAGAGAATGGAGAGTCTTGGAGTGATGGATGTGTAAGAATAAGAATGGATGGCATTGTTTGTGAATAAAGCTATTGAACAAGGCGATAAGAGTGGTCAGATAAGACACCAAAGAGAATCGAGATGGACAGGGGCAGCTCCAAAGCACATAGTGAACGTGGAGGTGACATGCACTAACTAATAAAAAATTTAGTGGGTCATGCATGCAAGCTCATTACATAGCAAATGGACAAGTGATGAGATATCCACACCTATCTTGCAAGGACTTGTTCGTGGCCGCATATGTGCCAACCCGCTCAATCCCTATTCCCCTAGCCTCCGCCCCGGGTTTTAACCTGCACCGGGTACGGTGCAGCCTCCTATTATTATTTCTCTAAACCCCCCCCCCTTCTCTCTCTAGGCTTCGTCATCCAAGCCACCCGTGAAATTATTCTCACCATTATTTTTTTTACTATATATTTTTTTATTCTGTCTATTTGTATAATCTGTATATATTGTTTTTAAAAATAAATTGATCTTTCATTAAAAAAAAAAGTTCATCGCATCTATTGATAATATTAGAGGTTAAAATCAAAATCATAAATAGTGTATAATGAATTTTATGACAAACAACAAAATGCTTTATTTACAAATTACAAACCATGCAATTTATTCCTTATATTTTATATAATATATGGGGAAACATATAGTGTCATTATGAAATACAGATACTACAAGATTTGAACAACAAACATCTTGCGATTTTCAAGTTCTTTATTTATTTATTTTTTTAAATGTTTTCAGTCTTCTTTTACATATTTTTTTATAGAACCAAGAATATGATTGACCGATGGTAAAACCTAATTTCTCGTGAATTTGAAATATGGAGGGCAAAGGTCCTCGCATGTGCACATTAGATGAGGTAAGATATCTATCTATAGTAAATTGTATTATTTACCATTTATGAATAATTTTGGTAAAAAGCAAATTTGAAAAAAAAGAAAAATGAGCGAGAATTTCCTTCCTTTCACCATCTTGAGCAATATTTTTAAAACCAGATCGGGTATTGAACCGAAAAGGTTAGCATTTCACGGTTCTCATGGTTCAACCCATCAAATTGATGACATAATAATTAAATTAAAAAATTATATATGTATATAATAATTTAAATATAAGAAATAAATATGAAACTATTACTTAACTTAAAAAAATTAAATATTTTAAGTTTATCATGACTTAATAAATCACATAATGTAATATAATATCAAATGATTAAAAAAATTGATCATTTTTAAAAAAAATTGACAAAAAAATAAAAAAAAAAAGTATTTTTTGAACAATTTGATTTTTAAAAACAGAAACCGATTCTCAATTTAATTCTAGTTCTCAATTCAACCATTGATTTAAAATTTCTCAACTTCCTAAATAACTTTTTTAATTTGATCGAGTCATTAACTTGACTGGTTAATAATTTAATTGGTCCGACTGTTTGATGTGGTTTGGTTTTAAAATCACTAATATGAAGTGTGAGAGAGAGAGGGGGGGGGGGAGGCCCAAGAAGAGCCCAGATTCCCCTTGTTACAGTCTGTAGTGATGAGAGATCGGGGTTGGCCCTTGCTTTGGCTTTTTCTCTGTATGCTTCCCTTTGCTCCCTCCCTGTCGTCTCACTTTCACATTTCTCATCCTCTCAAACTTCTTTGTGGCGGAGACATCCTCCAGCTATGGCTTCTCTCTTCGAATCTGGTTGGCAGGTTCTCTCCTTCTTCCTCCTTCTGCTTGCTTCTTTCCTTGCGCTCTCTTGCTCATTTCCTCCTAATTCCTTTGTTTCTAATAATCCGTTCGGCATTGCGATACGTAACACTTCTTTGTCATAAGCTGTCTCGCATTCCTATACTCTTCTGTTCTACTTGCCTTCAAGAAATGAAATCTTGAATTCTAATTATTGTTTTCGAGTTTGTTTTCTTCTATCGTCTTGGGAATTTTCACGAGCATCCTAATTCCTCACTGTGAAAGTTTGCCAGTATGATGTTCATATTCGATTTATGCTCGCATTGTAGAACTAGCAGATTTCAATGTTGCCAGCCGATGATAGCTAGCTTTCTTTGTTTTTCTTGACTGGAGCCAACGCTTTGATTTTGCTTTCGAGAAAAATGTAGTATTTGCTATTATGTATATTCATTGTCACTGGTGGACTGAGAGAACGGGAACGGCACGCAAATGCTGGATCATAGACCTAAGACCATTTGAAAGTTGACTTGCTTTAACCAATAAACTTCATTGCTTTGGATCCATGTCAGGCAAACATTTTGAACCAAATATGGCGCTTCTTTACTTTTCCGCTTTCTTCCTTCCTAAAGTGATGTAATATTTTGGAGTATGAGCTCTGTTGGCGACTTGAATTACAAAGTATTGAACGACTTATCAGTGAAAAAATAATAATAATAAATGCTGAACATAGACCAACCTAGGCACATTGCGCCAAATTTGAGGAATGAGGTGCACTGTTCATAACTTATGAATAACATGGTCACCATAGGTTTTTTTGTATTATCGAAATGTTTCATATATTGAATATTGATTCTGAACGGGCTTGGTTTTCAATTTGGCAAGTCGCGAGATATTTGTTTTAATTCTTGAGGGGGATTATCATAATTCATCCCTTATAAGGACAACACAATTGAGTTCGCATGAAGCCTGGTTTACTTCGTTGGAATGATAAAACCTTATCTTTTGACGTGTAAAATATTGCTGGTTGGCAAGTTTTGGCTCTGCATTTATTATATTTTCAATTGCTAAACTATAATTTAACAAAATTATAATTGATGTTCTGAATTTGAGTCTTTAAGTAGTTTGACAAATACAAGAGATAAAATTATTATCCTTTTTTGATGATGCAGTATTTGATCACACATTTCAGCGACTTTCAACTGGCATGTCTGGGAAGTTTCTTTCTTCATGAGAGTGTTTTCTTCTTATCTGGGCTTCCTTTCATATGGCTTGAGAGGGCGGGATGGCTGAGCAAGTACAAGATTCAGGTTGTCCTTTTTTTTTTTTTAGCTTCGTTTGTTTTCTTAAAATTTACTTCCTTCTTTTGTTTTCCTACCTCGGAATGAACTGTTTTTCTTTTCCTGTTTTCACCTTCCTAGGCTATTTTATTAGTCATATTTACTTAATTAAATGAAGTTTTCTTTAATATGATGGGCATACATATTTCCTTGGATGGCAAATGTATAGACATCTACTTTTCCTTTCTCATCTTTCATAGTCCTAAAACCATTTTTTCCTGGTATTCAGAATTGAAAGTTACCGCAGATTTTCATTTGCTAACTTTTATGTCCTTTTTTTTTTTTACCTGCTAGTCTTGCATGGCTAGCAGCATACAACTTTCAGGTAATGCCCAATGGATTTGTTGTTCAACCTTGTAGTGGGGCATTCCTCAAAAAAAAAAAAAAAAAATGACCCCACCCCCCAAAAAAAAAATAAGAAAGAAAAGAGAAAATGAATTTACATTGGATTAATTTCATTTTTGCAACACCTGCATGCAAATAGTCGGATCATACATATGAGAAACCTTTCACTGCCTGTCGCACTGATAAATGTTGGACATTTTCGCTTCTAAACATATAATCTACCTAAAGGAGGAGAAAATTTAACCTTGTTTTCTGCAGTTATGTAATCTAGTTACTTGCACGGTATGACACCTGCATTTTGCTTATCATTTTTCTCTCTATATATCCTTTCTCCCCCTTCTTGGAAGCTTCTATTTTGCTTATTTTGCTCAGTCAATGCTTGCTTCTGTTTAGGCAAAAATTAACAGCCCTTCAGCTCAGGAAAAATGTATTAGTCGCTTATTGCTGTATCATCTTGGCGTCAATCTTCCAGTTATGATATTTTCATACCCTGTCTTCAAATACATGGGCATGCAAAGTAGCCTTCCCCTGCCGCCCTGGTACTTTCAGGTTTTTTAAGAGTGCTGTCATTAGTCTGGACATATAAGCTCCATGATTAGAGATTTTCCTTTAGACACTTCAATATTTCTTCCTATTACTCTTACCGGGCAAAATGATTTTTTCCCCAGGAAAATAGTTTTCTCTCAAATAATCTTCTACTTCATTTTGGAGGATTTTGTATTCTACTGGGGTCACAGGATGTTGCACACAAAATGGCTGTACAAGCATGTGCACAGTGTTCATCATGAGTAAGCGTTACTTAATGTGTGTTGTTGGGTTTTGGTTTTGGGGCAGTATCATATGGTTATCTATAAAGCGCTCAAGAGTTAAAAGCTCATGATGTGTTTTACTATGTATTTTAGGTATGCCACACCGTTTGGACTTACCTCAGAATATGCTCATCCTGCTGAGATACTTTTCCTTGGTTTTGCTACCATTATTGGTCCTGCCATCACAGGTCCCCACTTGATGACGCTGTGGTTGTGGATGGTTCTGAGAGTCCTGGAAACAGTTGAGGCGCATTGTGGGTACCATTTTCCCTGGAGTCCCTCCAACTTCTTACCGTTATATGGGGGGTGAGTATTGAGTTCCTCCTCCTTTACAACAGACATGTGGTTTATTCTGCTCTTTTTTGTTCCTAAACCTCATATCCTGATTTCCAGAGCTGATTTTCATGACTATCATCACCGTTTGCTGTATACCAAGTCTGGAAATTACTCGTCAACCTTTACTTACATGGACTGGTAGGCATTGGATATATTCTGCTAACAACTTAAACGTTTTTATTCATGGTTAAATCTAGGATCTAACTCACATATTACGTAGGTTTCCCTCGGAGAACAATAACCTTTTCTTTATGGTTTTGGTACTTATTCCATGTGCCCAGTTCTCCCCTAATGGTTAATACTGACATTGGTGCGATTCTTTTGTTGCCTATCATATTAGGATATTCGGAACTGATGATGGTTACAGAAAGTTGAAGGCATTGAAGAACGCAGTAGTTGAAGACAATATCGAGCAAAAGAAACAATGATAGAGAATTTGATTGGGGGAATATCCAGAAGTTCAGAAATAGTTTCTCATATAAGGGCATATTGGAAAACATGCGTCCCATCGTTGCCTTGTGTGATTTTGTGTTTGGTAGCTTTTCTTGTTCTACAGCATGCAGAAGGCTTTATCTGGACAACTATGCCCTGTTATTCAGACAAAAGAAGTAGAAGTGTTTTACTAGGATGATTTCAACCGTTTCTCATCTAATAGACCAGCTCTTCCTCCCTCCCCATCTATTAGTATTTAGCATTATCGAGTTTCAAGCGTTGTCTGGTTCAAATAAAAGTAACTCGTTTAATGTGATCCCTTGCTAATAATCCACATGTTTTTCTAACTTGATGCGTACAAAAATCAAATGGACACAGCAAGTATGGGAGTCCTAATTGTAGCTAATAACAAATCAATATCGATCCCATAAAGAATTAAACACAATGGTAAATAGATATCAAATTTTTAATTTCACACAAGTCAAGTGAATCACAAATGAAAGTTTATAAATGAGAAAAGTTAGCAATTAAGGTTCAAAAGTAAATAATTTCACCAAACAACAATTTCATAAAAGAAATGATCTAAGGTCCTACTCCCTTGTTTACTTTTGAAAATTTATTTCCTCCAAATTATCCAAGATTAATTTTGATTGGTTAATTTAAAGTCTAATTAGTTGAAATTGTCTTTCAACTCAATTACAATTATCTCTTAAATAATAATGCAAATGTTAACACAATTATTTAAGAGGCCTTAAAAATTTAATAACACTCCAATATGATTATATGAGTCCAAGAGATATATTCTTATCCTTATGGCCAATTAGAATAAATTTTAATTCCATATTACCTAATCTCAAGGCCTATTTAAGATTTTCTTTTTCAAGACAAATCCTAAACTTCTAAATCTCAACTCAATGGTGGCCGATCATCAATTAAGTCACAATAAATGAGATTAAGTTACTCAAAATTAATATTAATCATAGAATAATTGGATAAAATAGCATCCAATATATAAACAAGTTCATAATTGCTTAGGTCATGAAAAAAATCTAGCCATACATCAGTAAACTCAATCCCACAGTAGCAAAATGAAACGAAACTAGAAACATTGGAGAACGAGAAGAAAAACAAGACTAAACTAAATGAAATCAAAAAATTATGGATGCATCCTCTTCTTTCATGCTCCTAGGTCAATGCCTAACTTTCAAAAGTGGCTCTTCTAGTCAAGAGAACTTCCCAAAAGTTAAACTACTTGAAACCCTTGTGCTTTCTCGCTTTGCTATCTGAAAAAACTAATGTTATGCATTTCTTGTGCAAAATCCGCAACAATGCCCATTGTAGCGAGTTCTATTTCTAGTTCAGGATTTTTTTTATAATATTGACCCGTTGTAGCAGGTAACCAAAAAAATTTAATTTCTTCATTAAATTTATTATATTTTCCTTCTCTACCTCTTCCAAGCTTTTGCTAGGGTTCCTAAAATAAAAAATGATTCTAATTAATAAAAGAAATTACTCTAAAACAAAATTAAAATATAATATTTACAAGACAAGCTAACTAATACCAAAATAAACACTGAACATAAGATAATTAAACAAAAATAACTATATGAGTTTCTAATTAACTAATACAACTCTTGAAAATATATAAAAATATAGAGAGTCATCGTAACTCCAAGCACACACTACCTTATTTTAAGGGGTATTAGATTTAAACTCAACTACCATTCGTAATATACCAACTTTTTTTTGTTTATGTGCTAAACTGTATTATGTTGCTAGATTTCACCCCCACACGACTTTGAATGGAACCTTGGTGGCTGTTGATATATGATTAATATTGATATAAATAAGTGATATATTTAGTAAAAAAAATATCTAGTTATATATATAGATTTTGACCATTCCCCATAGAAAGGGTTGAATGATTGTTTCTTATAAATCGATTCAGACACTAAGCTAATACTTAAGCTCATCATGTAAATGCAAATAATATTCATCAATGTAGCTTTTCATGTCTTCAATCCATTTGAATAATTTTTACTTGCATTAAACATATTCATCATGTTTTCATGTCAGTAGAAAATATATTTTTAGATTGTGTACCTTCAATTTTTTTTATTTATATTACGCACCTTCATTTACAATCAATATTGGATGTTATTTTTGTTTTGACAAATTATTGGAAGGCAGTTCCTTCAAAAAAATGTATAATTCTTTTGACTTGAGGTGATAAGAAATTGGCAGCTGATATATATATATATAACTTGAATGGCCGGAGCATCTTCAAGTATTTATGTTTGACAGTGATCGATTGCCCTGGGAAGAAATTTTTGCCCCCATATATTAATCAATCTGTACCAAAGAAAAAAAAAATCAACCAATCGTTTTTAATTGCAGTTTTTCTTTCTTTCTTTTCTTTTTGTGCATGATTGTAGTGTTCCCAGCAAGTGCATATTGTGAATAATTAACTTCCAAACGAGGGCAAAGTAAAATATTTTAATAGCAATCATTTCTTCATTCCCAGGTGATGAAATATGCTTGCTGCCAAAGCCAATTTCAGCTTGCCTTCCACGAAGTGGCCCAGCAATATATAACTTTAAAAGACAATAGTTTTATTTTGTCAGGAAATTTATCACAACTCAAGTTTAGAATCGTTATTCAAACTATAGTTGCTATAGTTAGAACAAGAGTCATTGAGTGATCACTGGGATATGTAATCTAAGCAGGGATTTGGATTTACTCGTTTCCAAGAGTGCCCAACGCCAGAACTCACAAAACAAGCACCTTAAATCCTCCGACGATGGAAATGAATTGTCCTGTTATATGTATGAGGCTGTTGGTAAGCAGGGAAGCCTCCGGGGAAGACACCTCGTTTGGCTGCCCAATCCATAGCAAAGGGATTCCTTTGATGAAATTCTCACGAACCTTTTCATCTTTGATAAACTACGATTAAGAATCATCACATGATTCTTAACGACAACAGCAATGCAATTGGCCGTTACATTGTCTTCGCCCGCTCGCATGCAAGGTTTTTTGTGAGTTGGTTCATTGCTACTGCATTTTGCATTCTTTTCATGAAATTTCCCTCCCATGCATCTCATCTTTTTGTCCCTCTTTTTCACCATAAATCAAATAAAGATATTAATTACCTTTCGCTGCACTATATATTAGTATTCCATTTATAGCGGACATATGAAAACAATGCTTGCAACTTTAGAAGCTTTTAGAAGAGGGCGTGCAAGTTGGCTTATATGATATGCTGATTCCAAATTTGTATTAACTAGAATTGAGAAATCTTCTGCCGTATAATCTAGAGTTGCTTTTGTTATGTTTGTTCACACATTGTTCACCTAATTCACAGCATGATGAATATCCCACGTTAGTTTACTAGAAAAAGGATAATATCAGCACCCAACATATTTTGAACTTAATTTACAAAAAGGATAGATCGATAAACTAAATTAATAATAAAACATAAGTATGGATCTTTTTTTAAAATGAAGTTTGTATCAGTCATGTTGCATGTTTTATGGTACATAATTCGGTCTATGATGGTCATCAAGTCTAAACTTTTTTCAAGTTAGTTATTAACAATATTGAGTTTGCCATGAAAAATACAGAGGACTTTAGTTGATCATTTCTTTTTGCAGTTGACACCATATCGCAAACAGAATCAGTGACTTGAAATCCCTTAACATTCCATCCTCGTAAGCATTCATTCAACTCAGATTCATTCCTTGAGCAAGTGTGTACGACAGCTCTTCCACAATATATAGCATACCTAATAATAAAATAGGACACCGTGATGATAAATAAAAGTTTAATAATTAAACAGATCACATGACCTTGAAAACTCTCCGGCAAGCTAAGAGAACTTCCTGAAGAAATCAAAAGGAATAACGTGCGTGCCTGTGAGCTACATAGAGAGAGAGAGAGAGAGAGAGAGAGAGAGAGAGAGACCCAATTCCTTTGGTTCCAACTGCAACAAGAGCCGTCATCAGGCCCTGAAGAGACCACCTGTTGCTACAGCTAGTTTTTGCCTCCTCCATGTCTGCTTTTCTTTCTCTCAACTTTAGACTAATACTATCTGCAATAATTTACCCTGCTTAGTTTATATATATAATGATCCCTGAGGGACTGGAATAAGAATTGCATCCTGAGGCCCCAATGACCTTCATGTTCACAAGAGATTTTGATTGCCATATCCGTTGGTTGCATTGGATGGCTCAAAACTTGTCACTGTTCATTATACCTAATCTTTGGAGTCATTAATGGTGATTTTAGGAAGGCAAATATCCCGACCCGATAAAAGTTACCTGGATGCAAGCATAAGAATTAATGCAGGACAACAGAAAAATCAAAAGTTACTTGCGTGTTGGAAAAATTATATTCGAAAATGTGAGTGTTGAGCTGTGACAAGTTTGATTGATTATATCTGAAATGATGTTGACGGCAGAAAAGACCATTTTGCTTTCTTCACGCTCTCTCCTCTTGTCTTATTTAGTCATTACTGTCAGAGATGCTGATAATATTTCCACCACTCATTACTTGGTCCTCTCCGCTAAGCCACATAATGTATCTAAAATTTTGTATGACAGCCGAGTCAACTGATATATTATATTTCTGACTTATATGGAGGGTCGATGTAGTTATCATTTTTATTCAAGCAGATTGAAAGGGATTTGCGCCTGGACGGTGTCGTGTGACTTGTTTCGGATAACAGAGAGCTTCAGCGGACACTCGCTGCGATTCCCCCTTCAAAAAGGTGATTGCCATATTCCCCTGCAGGCACGTGCGATGGTCCATCATATCATATATATGATTTCAAATTGCTTCTAATAATCTTGAGACTTCGCCATTCCTTCTGTACCAGTGGCTTCCACATGTATTATTGTTGGTGTTACGTATACACACACACACACACACACACACACACACACTTCCTTTTCCAGCTGCAAACGATCATTTGCTCCTTCTTGACAGTATACAATAATTATTTACCCAGTCAACTCTTAGTACGTACGTTTTTGAGGACGGCTTCACACGATTATTTTGTGTTTCCTTCATGAGATCAAGAAGAAATAGCCCCGCTAATTTTCTCCTTTCTTTTTTAAACAGAGATGTATGGCTAGGAACTTCAAAAAAAAAAAAACCACCATCTTAAATGCAGAAGGCGCAGGACTCAAATTTCAGTCTTGATTTAGTAATCAAGACATCGTTCAAATAATTTCGTGTAGTTATAAACTAAGGAAGACTGCCGTCTTATTTTAAACTAACCTTTAGCTTCATTTTATAGTCATTGGCAGCGATATCCCCGTAAATATAACTTTTAATTTTGGGACCCATTAGAAATTTCTTTTTTAAAAAAAATAAAATTTGTGGCTATTTAATATATTTTCTTCCATGGGTTATTTTCAATTTTTCATGGAGGCCAAATGAGTCGTCCAAAGAATTTCGTGACTCAGAAGATGACCTTTTCCATCTTCGTGCGAACCAATCGATCTGATTGTCCGACAAATAGATCATTTCTTCTTTAAATTTTTTATTTTAATTCCACGCTACATCGGGGTTTCCATTGGTGACTTGGTCTCGACAAGGATCAACTTTTGAGTCTTCTATCTGTCTCCTCCCTAGCTATATACGGAGACAGCACGTCCCAAGACAACTCTTGATGATAGTGAGGTGTGATCAGATCTGATGATTAGACAAGAGGAGAGAGGGCTAAACGACGACGAGCTGTGTAGATAAACGGGCTATTACCACAGACAAACTGAATGATGAACAAGGTCAAAGCATAACATTGGTAATTGATATTAAATTAATCAATACTTCAAAAGCTTGACTAGCGAGGCTTTTTACTATTTGTCGTTGGATACAACTGAAGCTAACGTCCTGTGCAAGTTACATGCCAGACGGAGGAGGAGGCAGGCCTTGCACCCCCATTGTATTTCGTATATAATGACATCCACTACCTGCCAGTTGACCATCTCTCTCTTGTCTAAGAGCTTGAGATTAATGGAGTCTGAAGATCTGCAGGCAACATCATCAGAAACAAAGGCAAGCGATGAGCAAGGAGGAAGTCAGGCAACAGGGTCGTACGAGTGCACCTTCTGTAAAAGGGGATTCTCTAATGCACAAGCATTGGGAGGCCACATGAACATACACAGGAAAGACAAAGCCAAGCTGAAGCAATCTTCCAAGCAAGCTCCTCGTCGTCATCGGCCTAGCTGGATTACGGAAGATTCCTCTTCCAGAGATGTAGCCTCAGAACCTCGCTTGAAGCAGCTTCCACTATTCGCAGAAACGCCACAAAAGGCAGAAGAATTAGGTCATATTCATGATGGCGGAACTGCTGAAGAAATCAAGGGTTCGCCATCGGATTTAGACCTTGAACTCAGACTAGGGCCCGACCCACCCTCTCCCACTGTTGGTACCCCAAAATTCTTTTGATTCGAACGCAATCTATATTTCATCAATTCTTCCCTTAAATTTTTTCGTCATCAGTAAGTGTGTCCCCCTTTTGCTTAAACTTGATGATTGATTATTCTGCATTGCAAAATATTTGCATACCTTTTCTTGGACAATATAACACAATCTTACTATCAACAATCATTTAGTATTAACTACACGGTAAGCCTTTGTATTGGTCGGACTTCGAGCAATAAATCATATTATTCACAACTTATGAATAATACAATTTAATGTAAATTTTATATAATTTACCCCTTTGTTTAAATTTTCATCATATTTGTCTTGTATGTACTTTGTATAACAATACGCATGTTAATCGGAAAATTTTCTCATTGGTTGTACCATCAAATTGAATATATAATTTCTACATGTGCATGCATGCATTCCGCATTTCAAATGAGATGCTCGTGTTAATGTAAATTGAAAAATTTTTGAACTATTTTCGAGAGAGAAAGAGAGACTCGAACAATTTAAGTTCCATTGAAAGAACTGATTAGAGGGATTCTGATCGGTGTCAACTGTCAAATAAATTAAAAGTAGATCCAAGGCCCTGAGGATGTATAAAGGATAGCATGCATGTAATTGAATGGTCGATGAAACAGAGGAAGGAATTAGAGCATGACTACTTTCGTCGTTAAGAGCTAGAGCATCTTCTCGATGAGGGCTATGAAATTAAATATATATATATATATATATATACAGCCATGGCAACAACGTGACAAAGTAACTTGCCCTTTGCCTCTTTCTTTCATGACACTTGTAGAAGAATTTTTACGACAGCCATTCATATTTCATTCGACGACAACTTCTAATCACCGAACCATCTAGCTTTTAGCTCGATCTGATGTGCAGGATATCGTCAAACAGTAAGGAATTACGTGCAGTAGCTTGAATCGTATTTGCATCTCCCGATTCCTATTAAACAAAGCAAGTTCTAAGAGATTATATCCTCCTAAAAGGTATATCATGCAATCAGACAAAAAAGAAAAAGAGTTGATCGTGTTTATCTGCTGGGCCCATATTAGCTGTTCGTGATGACGTAGAAATCCTTGCATGATCAGTTGGGAGGCAAACTGGCAAAGTAACAACCTACGTAGCCCCTTAGCATACAAAGGGACTTCAGAGAATGAGATTGAGTGATAGTGAAAAGTTGGGACTATTGATGTGGCAGGTGGATAATATAGCTGCGTGTTCTTTGATGTAAATCTATATGTTAATTTGAAGGGTTGAGTAATTTATTTATTAAATATATTCTTAAAAAAACTCATTAATTTATAAGGTGAAAATCTAAAAATGTTTTTATTTTTAATATATAACCTCATGAAAAATGTTTAATATTTTTTAACTGAACGAGAAATAGTTATTCCAACACATTCCAACTTCCTGCCGATCAACAACCCTTCATAAACTCCTGTATTTACATACGTCTCCAGCTCTTATCACTTCACAGTTTTTATATCGATTTTAGTCAACTTTTCGTGCCCCAATATCAACCATTAACTATATTAGATGAATTTAGATATCCTCATCCCAAAAACCAATGTCATTGTTAACAGACAAGATTTTGGCACATTATGGGTATAGAAAATTATGTATCATTTTTATCTACAGTAATATTTATGTGTAATATAAATTCGTAACACGTTGTGTTATTTGTAATATCTTTTTGAAATTTCTTTTTGATATTTAGGACTTTACAAGGATGTACTGAAGATAACATGATAAACATGTTGCAAAAATGCCTTTCTAACATTGGTTTCTCCACTCGCTTTTCTTTACTACCAAACTTACATGCGAAATGTGAAAGTAGACTATGAAAAAATTTTCAAATTGTACTATATTTAAACATGTAACGAAAATGGGTGAAATTTAAAATAATAATAATAACAATGAAAGATTGCACCACATACTCCATTATGTCCCTATCTATTATAAGGGTGTTTTCAACTAGTTTATAGGAATTAAAAAAATACAATTAACTCATTAAACTTGTCTTAAGATAAAAAAAAAATTACCCAACTTTATTCCTATTAAAAATAAGAAGAGAAAGATACACACTATATGATAAATCATAAAATGAAACTAATAATAAAAGTTAAAATTGAAAAATAACAATAACTCCTATGTAGCTTACATTAAAAACTTAAAAAAAAAACTATCTAAAGATACCCTATAATAAAAATTAGGGAGTAATTTATAGCTACCTACTTACACCGCAGTTTTACAAATTTTCTATTTTATTTAACATTGATGTTTCTTGTTTGAAGTTGGTGGCCTAACTATGCAAGAGGATTTTCAATTTCAGCCAATCATCAACTAGGGCAGTCACTTGTCACGAGCTGAGAGTCTGGCGCAGCACACGGCGCCCGTGCGGCGTCCTGGAGGACCCCATAATCCTCAGGACAAGCCTTACCACATACGGATCGCACTGGTTTCGCCCTGTCATGGGCTCATCAGGGAGGCGGCACTAGCCCCCGACCAGTTGTGCACTCAGTCCGAAGACTGAGGCAGAATACCCCCAATGCTAATGTCACCCCCTTTACCCATATTATGCGAGGCTAACCAGCGGATCGTTCATTATCTTAGTCTCTACACGGTCACGGAGATATCATCCGTGACATTCTCCCACACCCAATCTAGCACGCCCTCGTGCTAGGGGAGAACGACTCCGCCCAAGGATCGTACGTACAGTACTACCACAAACACATCAGCTTACTGCTGAGTGGCCACCCGAGTCTTGCACTCTTCGGACCCACTCGCACCTGCGAGCCAACAGGAGTGGAGTCGACAATGGTCAACCATCCCGCTCGAGTCCCCACTTTTGGACCCACCTGCTCGGAGGCCTTTTTGGAGCAGTGCTGAGGTCGACCAGTCCCAACATGGGACCCCACGCGCACACGACAGTAAAGTACGTCCTGCTCTGATACCACGCTGTCACGGGCTGAGAGTCTAGCGCAGCACACGGCGCCCGTGCGGCATCCTGGAGGACCCCATAATCCTCAGGACAAGCCTTACCACATACGGATCGCACTGGTTTTGCTCTGCTATGAGCTCATCAGGGAGGCGGCACTAACCCCCGACCAGTTGTGCACTCAGTCCGAAGACTGAGGCAGAACACCCCTAATGTTAATGTCACCCCCTTTACCCATATTGTGCGAGGCTAACCAGCGGATCGTTCATTATCTTAGTCTCTACATGGTCACGGAGATATCATCCGTGATACACTGCTCTACTTGTGCATGTAGGCTCTCCAGCCATCATTGGGAAAATGTTGCCTTAAGCAAATTCATTTCAGATATTAACACAAAAAACATATACTCTGTACATCTCTATATATAAAATATTTTTTACAAACTTATTCCATCTCTAAATATAAATATTATAATATTTTTTAATAATTAGACAATTTTGTTCTTACTTTAAAAAATAGAAAAGTTATTAATTGTATGTGTTTTACTTCCTCCCCATGATATTAATTATTTTTTTCATCCCAAATTATAAAACACTTTTAAAAAAAATTGTCATCCCAAAATATAAGATATTTTAAAAATATTAAAGTTTTATTGAATAAATTTATTTTAATATTATTCTTTCTCTTTCTATATTTAATACTAATTAAAAGTGGATTTATGGTTGTTATGTGTATTTAATAAAATTTATTAGTATGTAAAATTTTATCTAAAAATATTTTATAATTTGGGATCTAGTATAATATTTTTAGGGGTAAAACCCAAAAATCATTGTAATTTTAACTAAATAACAAATTTTTATTGATATGAGCTATTTGATCTTATATATAAGGATGAAGAAAGAGCAAATACATCGAAAATAAAAGGAGAAAATGACAAGTAAGGACTTTGTAAAAACATTGATGCCTTAGTATTAAAACATGATAGAAGAAATATTAAAATTTAAGAATGTCAATGTTAAAAAATTATAATTTGATATTAGCATTTTTACGAGTAACTTATTTGACATTCTCACAAACAAAAGCCACCGCTGACTGTTATCACGACTCACGACATCCTTGGATGAATTAGGTTATCATGCCACCCCAGAAATCACATTACAAATGCAAGATGCTGAAGCCGCTTTTGCGTTTTACGCTAAATGTAAACGGCCTACCATGTACTCTTCAAATTTTTCCAGCTAAACCACGAATATACATTTCCGAATATACATTTCCTTCGAGAGGATGGAATGGAATGGAAAGTAAGTTCACTCCATCATAGGAAGCATGTAAGTTGAACCATTTCGCACCAAATGAGCTTTTAAAAAACGGCAAGAGGATTGGTTTTGAAAGTATGTTCCCAATTTCACATATTAATGTTCATTCATTTAAAAAAAAAGGAGAATTTCAAAAACGATCCCTCAATTGTATTTATTTAAATTCAAAACCCTTAAATTTTTAAAATTACACTACAATTTAAGAGTAATAATTTAATATTAAATTTTTGAAAAAAAAATAATAAAATTACCCCTCATTCAAATTAATATCAAATCTTCCTACTCCACTTGCTCATTATCATACTTCACTTGTTAATTTACTTATAGAATGTTATTAATTACCCTACATGACTTGTTTTCATTTTAAATGTCGAAATCATCTTAAACTAATTTGTTAATTTTTATACTACATGTTAGTCATTTACTTACGGACTGTTATGCATTATCTTACATCACTTAATTTCATTCTAAAAAAATGAATTGGCAAAATAGGACAATCAATTACATTATATTAATAAATAAACAAGCGAAGTAAAATAATCTGATATTAATTTAAATAAAGGACAATTTTATCATTTTACTCATAAATTTAATATCAAATCAATACCCTTAAACTAAAGTAAAATTTCAAAAATTTAAAAACTTCAAACTTAAATAAGTGGTTAAAAGATCTTTATTGAAATTCTCCCTTTAAAAAGGGTTACCACGCAACCTTCATATAGATGGAGAAAAAGAGAAGACACAAAAATAATAATAATAATAATAATAATAATAATAATAAAACACATTAAAGACTAGTTTAGGATACAGAAGAACACATACCAAATTCACTTGTTTGCATTCTTAAAAATGGTAGATATTATAAAGTATGGCAACTGAAGAGAGCTGCACTGTTCAGTAAACATACCTATGCATTGGACCCACTAGTTATTTTATCAAAGTGATCTCCAGTAGAAATGATCAGTAAACTCCACTTACTAGTATGAAAAGAGCTGAATGGACTTAACGGACAGAACATATGGAAGCAAGAGACTGAACAAAAAACAAGAGAATAAAGGGAGGAGGAGAGTAAGGTATTTGCGTTGGGACCAGGCGGGGAAGTCAAAACAAGTAGTTATCAAGAAGCAAAAAGAACACCCAAAATGCTACAATGATGTAAACATATTTACATAAACAAAAATAAGTATATGCATGACAACACATCTAGGTAAATCTTACAAATACATCAACCCCAGAATGGGTCCAAGAATCATAGCACCATGTAGAATTCCAGGAAACAGTCCAGGACACTGTCAACCTCACATGGAGCTTTGAACACTATACAGGGAGAAAGGACTGCCTATACAAATACAACAGATTACTGATCTGAAGAATTCCATTTAAAACAGCCTGTAAAAGTTGTAAAAGAACGAAGCACTTCACCTGAATGGAAGTTCAAAATGTAAATCTGCACATGATCTGCTCACCAAATCATCTAGAGTTGACATTAAATTCATCTACCAATTGACCAGAAAGCCAATTCAGTCTCAATCTTGTTAATAATATTCACAAGACCTTAGAATGTATTGTTTCAATAACAAAATCAATCAACACCACTAACACGTAGTAAATATAAAATACAAAACAAAAATCAGCCGGAAGCAACCAGAAACCCCTAAATAGACTACCCGAGAAAATAATACATAAAATTCCCAACTATGGGAAAACATTACCAGTAAAAATTGGGCAATATCGCACTCAACAGATTTGCTCAGAAATCCTCATTTATCCATTTCCGCTGCCAGCAGTAAAGGTAGACTACATCAAACAATTACCAATTAATAAGAGAACAGATACATTTGAAAAGCCACAAGGTTCCTAAAGAAGATGACAGAAAATTGGCCACAAGGTCTTAAAGGATATAACTTCTTCAAAATCAAAAGCAACATATTTAGTGATTCAAGCCCTTCTTTGCTTTAAGTGATTCGAGAGCCTTATTTCGCAATTCAATCTCAAGCTTCTTCTGGTCAGATGGTGTCTCTTCATTATCACTTCGATGAAAATCCATTCTTTCAGCTTCCTCATCATCTGAAGTATAGTCCTCTGCTTTACTTTTCATTTTCAGCTTCTCTGCACGCCGCTCTTCCTTTCTACGTCTTCTCTCTTCACGTCTTCGACGCCTCTCCTCCTTCCGCAGTTTCCTCTCCTCCTTTTTCCTTCTCTTAGCCTCTTTCCTGTTCTCTAACTCAGAATCATAGCTGGATTCTTCATCTGAAGCAACCTTTCGTTCAGATCTCTTGTGCTTTCTCTTATCCTTTCCTTCTCTTCTATGCCTACTGCTTTCCTCAGAACCAGAATCACATGAAGCACTCTGTTTAGCCTGAGCAACTTCCAATTTGCCATGCTGATCACTGCCCTTGGCAAAACTTGAATGTGAGTGATTCTTCTCACCAGACTTCTTGCTATCCGCATCATATGATTCAATAAGCTTCTCACCAGAAAAAGATTCCTTATACATTGATGACTTACGTTGAGTAGGAGTTCCAGCACCCCTTCCAGAAGATTTATCACTGCCAAGAAAGTTTTTACACTATAAGACAGATTTGTGCAAGGTAGACAGATTGCTAAGAATAACTGTTATGCCAACCAAACTACCTCTTTATTTCCTGGCCTTTCTTGCTCAAATCAATATTATCATTACGTCCCCGAGATTCAGAACCCAGATGCCCAGCTGTCCTTTCAGGAGATAATATATCCTCAGTATGAGTCTTTGCAGATGAAACTTTCCGCTTACTGTCAGGGGACAAATATTTCATTTTCCTTTGTGAAGACCTCGTTTTGTGATCCCTGCTCTCTCTACCAAATGCAGAGAAAAGAATAAAATAAGTAACAACAGTAAGAAGGCTATTGAACAAAGGAATTCAAATACTATAGATGTACAAAACCAAGCAGAAGATATCCAATTAATGCTAAAACCTAGAAAAGTATGTTTCTTCTGCTCCTTCACTTGTTTCTGGGCTGTCATGCCTAGACTTCAGGATTCTTGATTTCTGAGGAGGGCTCAAACTTTTCTTTTGGGTCAACATCACCCCTCTTTGCTTCCAAGGGCTCTCATGTGGACTAAATGACCATAACAAAGTACAGATGAACATAACAATTTTACAAATGGTTGAATTGATTAGAACATTGGTTGAGGAGACAAGAAATTACCTACTGTCTTCACTGACAATCTTATTCCTTGCTTGCGGAGACACTGACCTGGTTGGAGACTTCTCAGGCGTAGATAATGACCCTTGTGATTTATAATGTAATAAGTTGTGATCCTTATCTCTCTGAACATTCCTAACAGGACTTGAGGAGCGACGAGCAACTGGCAACAATCTGTCTTGTGTTCTGTAAGACAGGTGTGTTTTTGGTCAAGTATACTAGTTAAATATATAAATAATTATATGATATTCCAACTTAACAGTTTTACTCGTTAGATAATATCATGCATATCCTAGACAAAACAAAATAATCCAAGCATCCTGCTAGGCATCATTATACCTGACTCTTCCTTCAGAAGACTGCACAGGACTTCTTGCTTGTCTTGGAGCATTTCTCCTCACTGGTGATGGAGATACATTTCGTGTAGGAGACTTGGAACTCCATTCACCTGAAGAAAGAGACCTCCTCGGGGAAGGACTTGGAGACCATTTACGATCAGAAACAGATCTACGCATCACAGGAGATGGAGACCTGCGTTGTGGGGTTCTACTTCTATACCTTTTTCGTACAGGAGAGGGGGATGGGATGGGAGAGGGTCTTCGATGTACAGGTCTTGGTGACATTTTGCGTATAGGAGAAGGTGACCTTCGTCGTTGTATGGGTGATGGTGATCTGCGATGACGCAGTGGAGAGGGAGATCTGCGTCTTCTCACAGGAGAAGGTGATCTGCGCCTTCTCACAGGAGAAGGAGATCTGCGCCTTCTTACAGGAGAGGGTGATCTGCGCCTTCTTACAGGAGAGGGTGATCTCAAAGGAGAGGGTGATCTACGTCTTCTCACAGGAGAGGGTGATCTGCGTCTTCTTGTAGGAGAGGGTGATCTGCGTCTTCTTGTAGGAGAGGGTGACCTACGCCGAAATGGAGAACGCACTCTGTGTCGCAAAGATGGTGATCTGTAATGTGAGCGAGATCTAGATCTCCGCCTAGAATAAGATGACCTTCTATGAGGAGATCGCCATGGTGAATGCCTCCGAGGAGGAGAGATAGATGGTCTTCGTGGTGAATGACGAATCCTTTCAGAAGAAATGGAGCGTCCACGTGCTTCTGGCAACCTGGATGTACTTCTTGACCTTTGTCTGTCACTGAATAATAAACTCATTAACACAATTTGAACCCAAAGGTAGACGAAAAGGTAGTCCTGTTTTTGGAACCAAAACAATGCACTTGTTAATGTGGTTGAGGACTGTCTACATGTAGGGAATAGGCAGGGAATGAAATAAATGCCCACCAGCTGGTCAAATTGTATACCATAATAGGACTTCTAACTACTAAAAGTAACATTTACAAATCAAGTCTAAGCAAGCAAATTTAAAAGCATACCCTGAATAGCTTCGGGAATTTGAAAATGATCTACTCATTGACCTAGAAGGTGAGTCTCTGCCAACATGTAACATTAATTTATGAGCTTCAAAGATGGAACACAAATAAAATATAAAATTTCGTAAAAGCATTACCGGTTAGGTGACACGGAGATTGCTGGTGAGTGGGGAGATCTAGAATACCTATTACAATGTAACAGCTAATTAGTAATCCAAAACTCAATAAGAAGCTTCGATATGCTGAGTCAAATTCAACAGGATTCTCCACACCAAAAGCAAGACACTCATTTTTTTCAGTTAAGGACAATCCTGATACTCAACAAAATTCAAGCCTGACGAATTCAGATATCAATGCATATAGTTTCAATCAAGAAACTCCAATGAATATGCCCTACGTATGAGAAATGACTTCACCTGACAACTTGATACTGACACAATTCAACCTGAGTAAGATCAAAACCCATCCCAGTGCATACTTTGAAATTTGACTGACTATCAGCATAATAGTGCTCATAAACAACAAATCATCCGATTTACCTGCTCCTTGATCTCACACCATTTCTTTTGTCAGTTTCTTTTCCATCTTGAACATGATCTACTGAATCCCTGGGCTTCAAGACTTGGTCTGATGCAGTATCAGTATCCTTGGCATCAAATCCACCGTCCTACAGTAGTTTGAGGTAATAGACATGAACCCAAATAATTGCAGAAGCTAGCTGAATACCATGAAAACATAAACAGAAGTTAAAACCAAAAATGCAGCTCCATGAAGTGCAACTCCAGCATGAATAAAGTAGTATTACCATCTTCTTCACCCTCTCTTGAAAGAACTCTCTACCTTCTTTATCTCTTTTCTTATGAAGTTCACTTGCTATTTTATCATTTTCAACCTAAACCATTCATGGGAAGAAACTTCGTCAGAGGAAAAAATTGTGGAGAGCCAGTAGGCACCAAGACGGCTAAGTGCTTAGCAAGACCAAAATGCACCTTCTTCTTCCTGAGTTCTTCTTCTTTGGCATCCAAGAACTGCTGTGGAACCCCACTGGTATTTTTCTGTGCACTGAGAAGAAGTGACCAAAGCTCTTTCATAAACTTTCCAGTGTTCTTCTCCATAAATCCAGTAATTTGTATTTGAACCTCCTTCCCATTAACTTCCTACATCACAACAATAGACGTAACCAAAAACATTAGTAACTGTACATATTTCCCAACATCATTGAATATCAACAGTAAAGGGAAAGGGCAACAGGTGAATGCTCATTGATAACGGCCAATTTTAATTAAAGGACAACAGTAATCTGATGCAAACCCAATAAGCAAAGCATTATACCTTCGCATCCAGAAGACTGTGAATGAAGTTGATGAGCACCTCATCCTCGAACCCAAGAAGTTCAGTCACCCTGATCGTGATCCACGGCTTTATTACGTCCATATTCACCTTAGTCATATCGACCTTAAACCAGATTTTTCAAGCCAAATTCAACAAATGATAAAGTAAGAAAGCAACAACGCATATCATAGTTTATCAAGATCTTGCAAATCTCAATTCATTTTCTTACAGATTTCAGGGCAGTTTGCAATTGCAAAACTTTGAACTATAAATACAAACAGCGTAGTCAAAGGAACGACGTACCAGGTGGTCCAGTTCAGGTGCGAACTTCTGAGATTTCAGCAGTTTCGCCTGCTTGTTAGAAAACCGAGTGTCTTGGTCCGCAGACGTACCCTGAATACGGAATTCAGCAGATGTAATTCGTAAATAAAGTGTTCAGCACACATGACACATCCTTGCAGAGTAAATTCAAAAGAAGGCTTGAAGTTGATGTTTTCAATAGCAAAAATCCGGGTGCCCTTTAGGTAAATTATCCCAATCCCAAGTATAAATATTTAGAGGTTCAAACATTGGATACAAACTCACTCGGAAGAACCCGCCCGACATTTTCTGATATCTAGAACTTCTGAACGGAGAGAACAGCTGAGATTATGAATACAAATCAATATGCGAAGAAAGTGGAAATCCGAAGCAGCAAGGGATAAATAATAGAAGAAATAGACGGTGAAACGCTGAAACCAACTTCTGTAGGGCGAGAGCAAGGGAGTGCTGCCACGCGGGGCCGTACTTGGGGTTCAGTCTTCGGGTTCTGCTGTTCTGCACTACGCGAACTCGCGAAGAATGCCCTAATTCGGCAGATTCATCCTTAGCAGATTCAAGTTCCACTTTTGCCCATGGAAGCAAATAGCACTCTTTTGGGTTGCCTTCGTATCGCATCTCGGCATCAAAATTTAAGAGAAAATATAACTTTTAATTTCTATACGTTACATGTAATTTTTTATTAATCCTTATATTTTATTTTTTATATTCTAAATTTTTACAATTTTTTTTTACCTACATTTTAGATTCCTATATTTTCAGAGAGGTGCTCACAAACATTAATAATGTTAATTATACTGATGTGAAAAATAATATCATTAATTATATGATGATTAGTGATGTGTCAATTAGTGACTTATATGTATTTTTTCTGAGAAAATGAAAGGAAAGAAAAACTTATGTGTACTCCCTCTTACCCTTATTATAACATAATTTCAACTATTTCACATATTTTAAAAAAATTAGTTTTTTTCTTGATACATGAAATGATATATACTTTTATTTTTACCTTTAGTTTTAAATAATAATACAACTACATTAAATATCTTTATATTAATTAAGAAAGGGTAAAATTTAAAAAGTAATTTAACTATTACAAAGTATCTTATATTTTGAACCAAATTTTTTTTCTAGAATATGTCCTGTAAATAGGACTTGAGAGAGTATTTTTTTTAATAATCAAAAAGTGAAAAAATTATGTCCTAACTCCATACCTGAATAATATATTTTGTATATATTAAAAAATAATAAACCATCTCGAACTTAACTCCAAACTTGATTGTGAAGCACAGAATTGCAAGAAAGACACCCTGATACAAAATTATAGCACACCTAAAAATGGACACTTGACATTTTCTCATAACCCTAAACCCTACTTTATTTATATAATAATTATTAAAAAAATACATTAGCTTTTCTTTCTTTTTTTTCCCAAAAATAAATACACATTAGCCACTAAATGGCATACCACTATATAATTAATGGTATTATTATCCACATCAGCATAATTAATATTGTTAATGCCACGTCAACACTCATTTAAAAGTGTAAAGTACTAGAGTGCAGACGGAAACAACTGTAAGAACTTAAAATATTAAAAATAAAGTGTAGGAATTAATAATAAATCACATACAAAGTGTAGGGATTAAAAATTATATTCTCTCAAATTCATATAATTGTGGATGTTAGTGTTGATGTGTCATAATTATATCAATGTAAAATATAATAAATGCAAGGGGAATTTTTAAATAAGAGTTAAGGATGTAACATAATTATTAATGAATCCTAAATAATTCTAAAATCTCAATTCAGACTAAGGGAATAAAAGTAAAAATAATTTTAATTATAAAATATCAAAATATCCTTCACTTATTATGTAGAATCACTGATTGTTAATCTTTTTATTTCATTTATTAATTTAATAATATGAGTTATAAATTACACAAGTTGACATGTCAATAATTATATAAAATTTAACATCAGTTGTTCAATCATAAGCATTAAAATGTTAGTAAATTACGAGACCTGTCAGTAATCTATAGCCATTGTCTATAAATTAATAAGTAAATTTAGTAAATTGACAACTTATATTACTGCTTGGATGAAAAATGGATGTAATTTTTAATTGATAGTAGTAAATTAATAAGTGAAATAAAAAATTAATAACTATTAATTATGCATGACAAGTAAATAGTACTTTGATCTTTTTGTAATTGAAATTATTTTTACTTTTATCCCCTAAACTGAACTGAAATTTTAAAATTTTTTAAGACTCATTAATAATTATTTCACATTCCTATAAAATGTCTCAAAAACCCCCACTATGTGAAAATAATGAACAGTATGATTAATTTTTATTTTATATAAATAACTGTTATGGATTTCATGTATTGTTCTATATTGTAAAATACATCTTATCACTATAAATTTTCATGGGATGAAATATAATTTACTTTTCTGTTTCGTGACGATCCGCAATAATAAAATATTTATAATGAAAAAATAATAGCAAGTGTAAAACCCATAATAAAAATAACAGGGATGAAATTCTATCATTTGATGCTTATGTATTTTATATGCAAGATAGTAATATAAAAAGTGTTCGTCCTCCACGAATCTACAAAGGGATGAACAGTGTTTTATATTATTTTTTTAAAGTTTCTAGATTTTAAAAGATCGCGCGGCGCTTGCAATAAAAATTGGTGTAAAACTTCCCACCTTTTTTTTTTTTTTGGGTGTAAGGCTTTTCACCAAAAAAATAAGTGCAAGACTGAACCTAAAATTGACATGAATATAAAATTTATAGTAAAAATGATATGTGTTGGACCTATAATTTGCCGTTTATATTTTTTATATGAACCCAATAATAAATCGTAAAATAAAATACATAGATAAATAAAAATGATAATTTTTTAAAATTTCAATTTCAATTCATGTGGGAATACATGAAATAGCAATTTCTAAATAAAATAATTTGCTATTTTTTTCATATGTATAAGATAATAAATTATAAAATGATTAATGAGCAAAATGGACCTTGAAGTATTTCTCAAAAAGCACCATGAACCTTGAACCTTTAAAATGTGTAAAATAAACTCTAAATTTTTAAATTCATAATAAATTAAACCCTACTGTTGTCTTTTTATTAATGTTGTTATTATTCACCGTTACTGTTAACGATGGGCCCTAATCAAATGATGATGTGATAGTCTCTTACTAATGTGTCATTCATTAATTAACATCTCATATCCTAAAATATTACGCAAGTAGCGTCTTAAACCTTACGTTTTGAAATTTTGAGCAAAATACCCACACTATTTGTGTATAGAACATTGACTATTATGTAAACAAAATTAGTCTTAGCACGGTTTGCCATGATGAATGCATTATTGGCCATGACGAATGACCCATAATTCTAGAAAATAACATTTTTGCCATTTCGTTTGCAAAGTTTTCCAAATAATTGGTATCCCATCCTTTCACATACTTGATAACTCTGATTTATTATCATTTTGAATAATATTTTTTTATTCAATGGTGACAACTTGAAATTTCACTGGAAAAGAAGTTTAAATATCAAAAGGTTTTAATTAACTGATTAATTTGAGTTTTAAATTCATTAATAAAATCATCAACTTTTGCATCCATTGTTTGCAAAATATCAACGTGATCTTAAGTTTTTACTATTAAATATATAAACATTATTTAAAATAAGACTAGATTAAAGTTATAGAGTATACAAAAGTATGGGATATCAACTGTTTTGAAAACATTACAAAAGGGGGCAAAAAATACCATTTCACAAAATTATGGATCATTTGCCACGGCTAACAATGCGTTCACTACGATAGATCATGTTGAAGTTAATTTAATCTACATAATAGTCAATATTCTGTACATAAATGATGAGGATAATTTGCTTAAAATTTTAAAGTTTAGGGTCCAATATGCTATTCGCTTGAAAGTTTAGGGTCTATGGTGTTAATTAACAAATGACACATTAGCAAGAAACTGTCACATCACCATTTAACTGGAGCTTATAGTGAACAATAACGGTGTTAACAAAAAGATAATAATAGGGTTTAATTTCTAACAAATTTAAAAGTTTAGAATCTATTTTACACATTTTAAGAATTCAAGGTCCAAGACACTTTTCAAAAAATATTTCAAAGTTTATTTTGCTCATTAACCCATTATAAAATATAATTCTTTATTGTTTAAATTTAAATTTATGCATATATAATACATTATAGGATAAAATAATTTTTTATAGTTTTAGTGCATATATATATAGAGTAAGGAATTTTTTATACATAAATTTTTAAGATTCACGAAGTATATATGTTATTTATGTTTTCAATATATACAGAGAAAATTTATAAAATAAAATAAATTCTTTTTTAAATTTTACTTTATCGAGAACAATATAGCTAGGGATGAAAAATTATTATTTATATTTATTACCTGTACGAGGTAAGATTGTAAAATAAGTTGATGTTCAGAACAAATTATAGCGTGTGTGTGTTTTAAATTTTAGCTATAATTAAGCTATAATTATGATTTATATTATGACATAAATTGTAGTATGTGGTTTATTATGGTACTTTTTTTTATTTGTCCTAGGGTGATGATTGAGATAAAAAAGGGACTGAGCTAATTTTATTTTAATTTGAAAGAAGCAAAGGGAGAAATGATAATAAATTTTTTTTAAAATATATAAATAATAATTTAATCTCTTAAAATATAATAATATAACAACGAACTACAACTTGTATGTTAAATTCTTAATTTGTTATTGTTTTGTCGTGAATATAAGAAAAAAAGTTGTGATTATTTAAATAAAACTTGTGAATCATTTTATTTTTAAAAAGGGTAATCTAATTATTTATATAAATTTATTAATAATAAATAAGTCTTTAGAGACTTACTAAAATTATGATATTTTGAGGGATTAAATTATAAGTTATATACTTTAAAGATATTTCATTATCATTTTTGCTATTTTTTATTATACATAAGAGTAACGCATAACAAATGAGAAGTTTTTATTTAAAATTTAATTTGTAAGAGTAACAAGTAACAGAGCTAATAATATTTGTTGGGGGGTAAATTATATTCTCCAATTAATTATACTGGGAGTGGTAAAATAATTACTTATATGGAACAAAACCTAATGGTAAAATTATTTTTAATTTAATTTAAACATTTTTTTCATATTGATCAAAAGAAGAGCACAAGCATGAAAGATTTGCATATTTATCCTCAGGACAATGCATTTAAGATAAAATAAGTTATTGTTTATATTTTTAATATGTATATGCAACATAAAATTTAAAATAAAATAAGTTACAATTATTTAGATTTAATTTAAATAAATAACAAACTCTAATTCTAAGTAGACTCAAATAAATTATTTTTATTTTCATATTTATATTTTATTTTTACCTTTTAAATTAAATAAAATATCCCGTGCATGTGCACAGGGAGTAAAGCCAATTGAGTCTCAACATTAATTGTATTATTTACTACTTATTAAAATATGCATGGTTGGGGTTTTTAATTTTTGTTATGTCATAGATAGCTACAGATATATAAAAACAT